CTTTGCTAGCATGATTTCCAAGTCCAGTATTATTTCCTATATGAACCGGGAATGAAGGGAGGATGATATGGAGGCACCTCCAGGGACAAAAGCAGCGTTGCAATGCAACCTCCACCTCTTTCATACAAATGTGTGATGTTGCAACACATGTACAAAAGGGCTGGCGCTCACATCATGATGACACGATGTTGCTTTCATACTAATTCCTCTGGGAGGGCTTTGCCTTCCAAAGACAAATGTTGGAAATATATTATACGTAGTAAAGAGTGACAAAGTGAAGTTGCCATGAAATATTTAAATCATAAATTTAAATTTAATGTTTTCTTTACTCATATACAAACCTCCCCTGTGCATGTTTATGTTATGAAACATATTTAAAACTTACAAAACTTTCTTCATTTTGTTTGGCTGTGCTTAAAGAAAATTTGAAAATGCAGGCATTCCCAAATGATAAACTTTCTGTTTATCTGCATTACCTTTTTGCCAGCCTGGCAAGCAAAAACAGGTACAAAGTTTGAAAGCTCATTCATTTCAAATCCTAATATATATTCACCCAGAAAGAAGATAGTTTAACCAAGGACAAGAAATAAATTTACATTCCCTTACGCACACACATCCACTTCTTTGCTGCTTCTTTCTCCCCTTGTTGTCCATTGCCTCCTCTTGTTTAAGACAGGCAGTATATGAAAAAACTCTTTGACATTTTACCCAGCAATCTGATTTCTCAGGAAGAAAAGAAAAGAACATTCCACTGCTTAAGATAGTCAATACAATTAGAGGCCTTTCTATAATAAATGAAGAACACATCACTCACATTCTTGTGGGTATTCTTTGGCTTTCTCAATTATCCAGCATACATCAATAATGATATCTCTTATTTCTTGGTGTCTTCTAAAGCCGTCTTGAACATCTGGTATCTCCCTTTCCATGTAGGAATCTAATCTGCATTGGATGATCCTAACCGTTATTTTGCTAGCATGAAATTAGAGGGTATTGTACAATAGTTTGCAGAGTCTTTTGAATCTCCTTTCTTTGGTATTGGCATGACTGACTTCTTCCATCGGTTGGCCACTGTGGTGTTCTCCAGATTTGCTGATACATTTGGTTAGAACATTTACTGATTCTTCTTCTGTTATTTGGCATATTTCTGTAGATATTCCATAAATTCCTGTAGCCTTCCACCTTGGTAATGACAGAAATGCTGATCTAACTTCAGCTTCTAGTACTAGAGGATCTTATTAATAGAGAATATCTTCTAAGTTATTTTGGATGCGGACATCTCTGCCATACAGAATTTCAGCGCTCCCTCCATTTTTATTTAACTTCTTTGAATCAGTTCCTATCTATCCATTGGTGTCTCTGGCATATCAGTTTGAGTTTGGAATCTCCACCTGAGGTTGGAGATATTTTGAAAGACTTTCCTTGTTTTTCCATTTTTCCGTCTTTCCCTCTTTGATGTCTTTACAGACATTGTTGTCATTCTGCTTACTGTTTCTTTTAAAAGTTCTCTGAGATTCTTTGCTAAGTTCCTTCCTTCCTTTTTCTTTGCTTTGCTTCTCTCTTCCTAGCAATTTTCACCGTCTCTTCTGATATTTAGTGTGCTTTCTTCTGTTTCTTGGTCTTTGGCAGTCTCTTTTTACATTCACTCTTAACAACTGCCTTGACTTCATTCCACAGTTCCTCTGGTTCCCTGTCAACAAGGTTCAGGACTTCAAAATGATTCTGATGTTCCCCCTGAAAATAATAGATACATGCTCAAGTTCATATCATGAAAACTGGGGGGCTTTGTTCTTCCATTTTAGCTTGACTTGAAACTTGCACATGATCAGTTTGTGATTCCAGAGTCAGCCCTTGGCCACACATTTGGTGTTACAACTGAGTTCTTTCACCTTCTTGCACCAGTAATAATAGTCAACTTGATTTTGGGTATTCCATCTAGTGATGCCCATGATACACCCATCATTTTGATTGTTTCAAGATGATGTTGGCAATGAAGAAATCTTTGGATTGACAAAAATGTATAAGTTGTTCTCGTGCTTTATTTCTGTTTCTTAGGCCATACAGTCTTACTACACCTTCTTCCTTACTGATTCCGTCTTTGGCATGCCAGGCTCCAACCACAAGCAGTGCATCTTGCTCATATGTTCTATCAATTTCAGATTGCATTTGATATAAAACTCAACGCTGCATCATTGGTCACTTCATATTGCCTATCCACATGGATAGGTTTCCTTGGTAAAAAAAATAGGAGTGGGTTACCGATGCCTTTTGTGAGGTAGGAAATGATGCTTTTGCTGTTGTCACCAATGATCACTTTGGTGTATATTGTTGCTGCCTAATATATGTGCCTGCTTGCTTTAGCTGGGTGACTGGGATGACCTTCACATCTTTTCTTCTGCATCAGTGGTTAGACATTAAGCTTGGATAGTCATCATATTAAAGTCTGATATTATTCAGCCACTGACTGCATTGTACCAAATTACTGCTTTTGCAACATCCTTCCTGACAACAGAAGCAGTGCCATTCCTACTTTGTTCTTCATGTGCTAAGTAGTAAACAATATAATCTTCTGAATATAATTACTGTGTTGAGATTTCCCATGTTCATGTTTCTTATGTTCCATCTTCTCATTATGATTCTATCTTTGCGGATATGGATTTTCTTTTCCTGCATGGCAGTTTCAAGAACTAGATATCCTGAAGGCTTTAATCTAGCCATATCATAAATACCATCCTCAGTTCTTAGTAGCAGCTTGAGTGCCATTTGACCTGAGAGGCCCATCATCCAGCATTATATTGTCAATCACTTATCATGCCTATCCATGTAGTTTTCTTGGTAAAACACAGGAGTGGTTTACCATTGCCTTCTCCCATGTAGTATGAAATGATGCTTTTAGTATTGTTATTAAAGTTATCATCTACCCTCAGCATGTTGCTATATTGCTGCTGTCTAATATAGATGCCTGTTTCCTTTAGCTGAGTAGCTGGCATGATTTCATGCCTTAGGGAACCCTGCTGGGAGTATATACTCTTTACGTACAGTCCCAGTAATCTTTGCTCATCCTTCGCAGAAACAGCACTATATCCTTTTCAGTGCAAGCTACCTCCATCTGCAAGAGAGGATTAGAGTTGCTACTCAAATTCTAAACTCAAAGTTAATCTTGAGCAGATTTCAATGCAACACTAGGCCCTAAAAATGAAGCTCTTTCTGAAAATATCGGAAAGATAGAATTTTTATTTACTATATCATGTAAGGCCAGAGAGCCAGTTTGGTGTAGGGCTTAAGGCACCAGGCTAGGAACCAGGAGACTGTGAGTTCTAGTCCTGCCTTAGGCACAAAACCACCTGGGTGATCTTGGGCCAGTGACTCTTTCTCAGCCCTGGGAAGGAGGCAATAGCAAACCACTTTTGAAATCTTGCCAGGAAAACTGCAGAGGCTTGCCCAGACAATTGCCAAGAGTCAAGACTGATTGAAAAAGAAAAAAGAAAAGCCAGATATGGTTGCTCAGTAACAAAAGCATTAATAATGTGGACTGGAAATTAGCCCAACTAGTTTTAAATTTAACCTATATATCTTAAACAGTTCAGTTGGTGATACTACAGAGGGGGTGTGGGATATGGGAGCAGGTACAATCATATCTAACCCCCCATGTTACAAACTTTAGGGACCTTTTTTATTGAGATAGTGACCATTCCTTCCTCATAGCATGATTAACCTCTGATATTTGGGGATACAGGCAGAAGAATAAAGGTGTCATTCCTATCTGTAATTCCCAATTAAAACAGTCAAATTAGTTTGATAGGGTTGTTTCCCATATTTTTATATTTCCCATGGCCTCCCAATTTAAACAATGTTTTTGTAATCCAAAATCTAAGCAAACTTTTAAGTACCAATCAGCAATTGATCATTTCCATTCAGTGATTCTTAAATGTAAAGTCAAAGCTCTAGTTTAAAATCCTTAAACCTTGATTTGACAAAGAATGCATGGAAACCAAAACTGAATTACATTTAGCATATAGGAACAGTAGTCATTGTCTTCAAGACTAATTTTATGACCTAAATAATTAATGTAAAGCTTTATTGAAAAATTCTACAGGTAGTTGATAATCAACTCAGCATCACAACCTGAAATTGTGATGCAAAATATAATTCCACCAGTGAAATGGGCTGAACACTTTAGTAGTATATTTAATGAGCCTTGCCCCCACCACCAAATTCTCAGGAGAGAAGTTGAGAAATCCTTTTTCTACCAGGATTTTAGTAAATGAGATGTTACCTGGGCTCAGTTGTTGTTGCTGCTATACAGTATTTACTTGGTTGTCTTTTTGTTGGTTTATAGGTTTTATTTCTGTACCTGGGTTGTTTTTATGATTAATATTGTTTTGATTTGTAATTGTGGGCCATCCAGAGTCCTATTACTGGAATGGCATACACATATTGTAAAATTAATTAAAATGGAATTCTCAGCTCAAGGTGTATTTGAATAGGATTATTATTTCCCTGAATAAATTGAAAGGAATATGAAAAGTAGGGAGGAAATTTGTCCTCCAAAGATAAACATTGGAAAAGTGTAACAAAATGGCATATCCCCTCACTGCACCTCTTTCTGGGATGATAGTTGTTTTCCATTGTTAAACATGATTATGTTCACTGTAACTATGATTGTTAGGAAATAACCATGTATATTTTAAATAAGATTGAGGCTTCCTTTCCACAGGAGTTTTTTCTTTTTTTGTCTCTAGAAAAAAATGAGTGGAGGATTAGCACCAAGCAAAAGCACAGTTTATGTATCTAATCTGCCCTTCTCATTGACAAACAATGATTTGTACCGAGTAAGTATACTTTAAAATTAAACATTAGAATTGAGTCTATCTGATTTTATGAATAATCATAGAATGTTCTATGTTTACTTCTGTGTTTTGTGAAGAATTTCTTTTTTGTATTTTTATATCTAATTTAAATAACTGTAGTTCTTTCTCTGCCTTTTCAGATTTTTTCAAAATATGGCAAAGTAGTTAAGTGAGTATAAATATCAAATTGTATGTGACTTATTCTTAAATGTGATCTATAATAATCAGTGCTTTTCTGTAAAACACCCTGGATTCAACAGGATCTCTATGTATATGTGTTTGTAATATGATATTAAGACAAGTGCTCATTTGTATTGTCACTGCCACACCTGGTGTGGGACTTGCCATCAAAATGTTCTAGCCATAGGTTGTGCTTTTCTGGAAAAACATCTTCTAAAGTACTTATTTAACCAATTCTATGTTATGGTATTATATATTATATTTAGTATATTCTGTTGTAAAAATATAGTGCCATACTATAGCAGGGAGACAGCTGCACATGGACAAGCAAAGGAATATTTTTGGCATATTTATATATATTTTAATCATGCTTATTTGTAGCTTTCTGGAATCTTACAATAAAAACGACTTTTTAACAGATACTCAGTCCTTTATCTTAAATGTTGTACAGCATCATCTAGATTAACAGATTTACCAACTGGTAACACTTCAATTTCTTTACCCACATTTGCCTACAAAATGCTGCTAGTAGCTCCATTTCTCTAGCTTCAAAGCATAATTTACTTGGGATTTTAGAAGCTGGAGGAGAGAGACAGAATTGTAAGTCATCTCCTTACTGATCACAACTCACCGAAACAACTGTATCTTTGTAAATATTTACACCATCCCAGAAATCTATGAAGTCATTTATCACAGCTGATACATATAAATAGAATCTGGCCCAGAATAATTTTTAAAAAATAGAATGGTTTATGTTCCAAAGAGCAAGTGGCTCTCATACTTTCAAGTATCTTGTTACTTCTTTAGAATGTACAAGATGAAAGTTATGCATAACAACAGGATCAGACGTGCCTTAGTTGATATATATCTTTGTTTCTGTATCTTAAGTCAAAACAGGAAGAATATTCAGCTATTTAATATGATGATCCATAAAGCTTCTGAACATCTGTCACAACTTAACCAGTTTAAGAAGTTTTTTTATTGACCATCATTGCCCTAGAATAAATCTTGAGATGAACTGTAAAGTATATCTGGTCTTGGACATTTTAAGTTTTGTGCTCATTCTTGCATGGCAGGAATGCAAAATCTTTGGCACTTCATAAATGGTTAAACTATCTCCCAGCACCCCAGCTAGCATGATCAGTGAAGAGGGGTATTAGGAGTTGTGCTTCATCAACATTTGTAGGGTCAAAGATTCCCCACCACCATTTTATGGTTTGGCTTTGGATATTTGGAAACAATTGTTTTTATAACTTAAGCCATTTCATGGTTCCTGAAGTAACTAAGCTTTGAGAAGGTTATTGCCCAAATCTTCTATAGTATTGAAAAAGCATTTGATAAAAGCATCCTTTTAGAGGTTTTGGGGGGAACTGATCAGGCACTATGTCCATAATATAAACTGTACTCTTTTTACCCACATTAGTTCTAAAAACCAAATCCAGTTAATAGATTATTCTGTGTGTTGGGCTATATATGATTTTAAATAGGCCTACAGTTGTCATAATAGCAATCATATCCTGAACTACACTGAACTCAGTCTCCCAAGTCCAAAACACTTGGAGTGCCAACACTATCTTGAAGGCCAGCTGTGTCACATCAGGCAAATAGGCAGACTGATTTTTATATTAATAGAATCCCAGTCCTATTCCATTCCCCCAACACTAGGTAGAGACAACTGGAATGAGAGTGTGTCAAGCTGATTTAGCCATTTGTATAAGTGTTAACATTTCTAAATGGGATTTTTGTTCTAATCTTATTTGAGAGGAAAAACAAAGGGCACATTTTTATAAGAAATGGTACATGATCCTCTGACAATGTACTTTTTGCTCTTCGTCTTACATAAGCATTTATAAAATGGAGTTCCACAAATAGCTTATGAATGGACCTGAGTGATTTATTGTCAAGTGTCTATTTTTAGAAATGCTTTACCTATATTATGTTTCTCAATAAAGACTATTCTTCAAGCTTAATGTAAAAACTTCTTCTCTATTGTTTTATATTGGAAATGGTTTGAGTTTCCTGACTAGCTTTTATGGATTTTCTCATGCTGCATTTACTTTGATAGCTCCCATTTTGCTGGAATTTGAAATGAACTACACTAATATAGGCAACCTGAAATGGCTTTGCTATCTGTGCTTTAATAGTATGTGAACATGTAGGGTTTTTTTTGTTTTTGTTTTGTTAGAGTTACAATTATGAAAGACAAAGACACACGAAGGAGTAAAGGGGTTGCATTTATTTTGTTCTTGGATAAAGAGTCAGCACAGAACTGTTCTCGGGCACTTAATAATAAACAAGTAAGTGACTACAGTATATTATGAAGTAACTTTTGAGATATTCTGAAAGCTAAAATTGTATTTGGGTTTTGACTTTTTTTAGCTATTTGGAAGAGTAATAAAAGCAAGTATCGCTATTGATAATGGAAGAGCTGCAGAATTCATCCGAAGAAGAAATTATTATGACAAGTCAAAGTGCTATGAATGTGGAGTGAGTAAATGTTGATATCCAAACAGAGTTATCTGTTTTTGTCATGTTCTTATGCTAATGTCATCCAGCTCAAAGCACACACTTGTGTTATCAATTGATATAGTCAGTTCAGATGACTTTTTTTTAGTATAAACAATGCTACATTTTCTAAAGAGTAATTGTAACTGAATATAAATCTACTATTTACAAGGCAAATCTGTGAAGAAGTAAAAAATAACATTCTCCAAATTCATCCACTAGTCTTGTTCAATAGTATTTCTTTTCTCTTAAGGAAACAGGACATTTAAGTTATGCATGTCCTAAGAACATGCTAGGAGAGCGTGAACCACCCAAAAAGAAAGAAAAAAAGAAAAGGAAGAAAGTAATTGAACCAGAAGAAGAAATGTGAGTGAAATATGTATGAAACATAGCCCCTACTCTCATTTACTGATTTAAGTGCCTACCTTATACCATGTATGTGTATATATGTGTGTGTGTTTTATATATGTGGTTTTTTTTTTTCCCTTTCTTTTGTGTGCTGTTCAGAGAAGAAGAAGAACAAGAAGAAGAAAGTGAAGATGAGGGGGAAGATCCTGCTCTTGATAGTCTCAGTCAAGCTATAGCTTTCCAGGTACTAAAATACATATTTAATGCAGCATTCTCTTCTTTTTAAAGCAAATTTAAGAGCCCCAGAACTTTCAGTTAATGATTGTTCTAATTTCTTCTGTTCAGCATAATAATTGCTATGATTCTCTTAAGAAGTTTTATTCATTCAGCCCAACTTGCAATTTATTCAGCCCAATCTGCATATATATCATAATTCATAACATACTAACTTGGTTTCTAACAGAATGGATGCATTTTTTAAAATGTAGAAACAATATGGCCTTTCTTAGATGCCTCAATTGGTACACATTTATGTTATCTAAAGTTAAATTAAGCATATTGAGATTTGCCCTATGGTTTAAAACAATGGCAATTAGTTAAAATATGGCATGCTTTACTTAGAGTTTTTGGAAAAATGGTGTGCTCCACATAGTATTTTGGTAAAGAAGAGCAAAATCTAGCTGCTGTGTTAATTATGAATGAAGACAGTAAATTATTATCTCTAAATGGTGATGGGGTCAAATAGATCAGATTTTCAGAGGTGGGGACAGAAAGACCAACCACCTTCTATTTGCAGGAAAAAAGTCTACTTTCAGTACAAATTTTGCTGATACTGAATTATGACAGAAAGTTAATTTCTTAATTTTCCTGAATTTGTTATTTAATATGCAAGTTAATTTAATTATCAAGTAATAGCATCATGGCTACACATACAGACTAGATTCATACATCACACTACGTTATGGTGTAACTTAGCTTGATGCATCTGCAGCCATTGTAGTTTGGTTAATGTTTTTTGTGAACATAGCCAAATATGTATTTTTCAGCAAACCATGTCTTAATATCTTACATTACCATCACTATGTTAGACATAATATTCTTCAACTTGTTGATCTAAATAGGATCAAACTGTAGATAATATTTAAAAAACAGCAAACTTGAGCTGTTCTCTGCCAGTAGATCACATTTTTCTATCACCAATCCAAATTTTTTTCAGTTAGGTGTTCTTTCCAAGATAATATGAAAGACATATAGAGCAGAAGGAAGAAAGCAAAGAGATGTCCTGTTAGAAAAGCAGAGGTTTGATAGAATATTATACAGAATAACAAGTACAGTACAAGGACTTAACACCGTTTTATGTTAATTCCTTATTGTATTTGTCAATAGTGATCTACAACTGTCTGAAAATACAATTCTTTAAGGGTCAGAAAAACCATTTTTCAGCCAGATTTTCATTGTGATTGTGTTTCAGTTCTGGATTTGGCCAAACAAGACTCAGTGTATCTTCTGATTTTAATAAATTACTTAAAGCATTGGATTTCAGTTACGGAATATTGCATGATGCGTTGAGGAAAGAGGGCGCCTTTGTTGTTTTATCTTTCATTTAATAATTAATTTGTAACTTAGCACATAGGACAATATGGTTCAAACAACTTGGCCTGTCAACGTCTTACTTTTGTAGAGTGCATGTTACAGAATTTAATATAACTCTCTGTCATTCACTGTGTTTTATGCAATTGTCTTGCAGCAAGCCAAAATTGAAGAAGAGCAGCAAAGATCAACCCAAAATGCAGGGGATCCTTCCACATCTGATTCAAGACGACCACGCATCAAAAAAAGTGCATATTTTAGTGATGAGGAAGAACTTAGTGACTGATGTAAATATTATGTAAATATATTTTATGAAATAATATTACTGTTGTTAACCTTGATCTCTCTACCCTTGTAATTAAAATGTAACTTGAAAGCACCAAATATATATAGTATTGTGTGTTTATGGTGGAAAGTAAGGTATTTTTCAAGTTTATTCTAATATTTAAAATCATTGACAAATTGTTTCTGTAGATTCTAATATATTTTAATAAAAATGCTTTTATTTCAGTAATAGACATTTTAACATCTATTTCAGAAAAAGCAAATAGTAATCTTATACATGTGTACCTGGAAGTAAGTCCTGTTGTTTGTTTGTTTATTTTAATTTTACATCATTTATATAGCAGCCCATCTGACTGACTATAGACAATGTACAAGAACAAATAAAACTAAAGTCTATCTGAAAAATTAAAACAGTACAGTAGAAATCCACATTGTAATAGAAGATGGATGTCCTGCAACTACCCTACGGTCTCAAGATTCAGCTGAAATGGAGTGGCATAAGGCCATCCTCAACACAAGGAAGAAAGGAGCCAATTGCACCTCTGGGGATAATATATTCCACAATGTAGACTCCAGAGAGTTTGCTCCCAGGTAAGTGAATAATGGATTTTATTTTTCTTTGTGAGAAAAACAGGGTTGCATTGTTCAGAGAAAAAGAAATAATTATTTATCCTGCCTTCTGGAGAGTATTTTTCTGGAGAATGCCTCCCTTTATTCCATATTCTTGAGCTATTTGTAATATGGAGAGGGCATGTTACTCTTTAGATCAGAGTAACATTATGAAGCAAAATATTTAACTTTCTCTTGTTTCAGGCTATAACCTAAATCAAAACAGATATTCAATGAGTCTTTTATTAACTAAGACAGACAGTAGGAGCTCCAGGTAACCAATGTCTTAAGTAGCTTGGCTACTTGCTTGGCTCTCAAACATCTTGGTGTTGAGGGCTAATCACAGCATTCCTTTTCTCAACTTTCTGTGCAGGGCTATGTTCAGTCCAGGAATAATTCAGAAAACTTTAGACCTTGCACAAGCACCTCTTTGCTCTTCATTAAAGCAGCAACATCTTTTTTCAGGATTGTACAGAAGCCTAAAAAAAGTCAGGCTATTTTAATGAATAGCAAAGAGGTGCTGTGCTCTATTGTTCTACAGTTCTAAGAATTTCCAGCCACTTTTGGTCATACTGCTTAGATTCTATTAATGGTAGTCCAGTGTGAGAAGACTGCTGCAGCACAGTAAATAGATACTTAGTCTGTAACCAACTATTGGAAAATTAAACTAAAATAAAATCTAACCAGGAAAATTTTATGGTGATCCAAAGTTAGTAGAAAAATTGGCAGTCTTCACAGTGTTGAATTATGGAAATGAAGATCCTACAATTAATTAGCTGATTGATTAAGAAAGATACAAAGTATATATTATAAGTCTTAGGGTTATAAGTCTGGTAACTATTAGATTGGGTTAAGTGCTATCCTTTTGAAAAACTTGTATTTAACTTAAATCTTCAATATCCATAAAAATTGAAATATACGAAGAGAATCAGAATTGCAAATGTCATATACAATTTACAGAAAATGTCTTTAAAACAGGCTGTAGAGCAGTATGTAGATTTGTGCTATAGAAAAGAGCACATGCTAAAGTGTTCTAGGGGATGAGGTGGTGAATAATTGATTAACTTCAATCTGAATGAATTGTGCATCACCGAAAGAAAGGGGACCAGTAGAATGAGTTTTATTTTCAAACCTCTGAAAATTACAATAATTCCCTTCTATAACTTTTTTGCATTATATGCTGCTTAAGTCAGCAGTCATGAAAAGTAACACACAAAATGATGTGTGTGGTGCCCTTGATTTCAAGTACATTTGGAGAGATTTGGATCCTTGCTCAAGATTGTTAGTAGCTTAACGCTTACACTTGTTAATGATGAGATTTGTGCCTTGCACTTAATGTAATTGTGAAAGACCAG